CCTTAAATTTATTTTTCATCATTTCCTGCATATTCTAAATTACCTTAGCTTATTCTTTTATTCATCTACTTGAATTATTTACTCTGCAGGTTATTAAAATAATCCTGCCAATGTCCTTATCTGTTTACAATTTATTTGTACATATTCAATAAACAATTTCCATTCATTTATAAAAGGTTTATTGTCTTGATTTTCTGGTAAGTTTTGCCATTTCTGCATAGTCCATGAGTTTTTGTATCTATTCTTCTTTCGTCAGGACATCTTTTTTCCATTTTGGGGCAAATAACATTGTTGCCACTGTAATTGCATACAAGAATAAATTTCTGTACTGTTTAGGTAGTTCTACCCCATAATTCCCTTTTGGAGGTTGACACGAATTTAGGGCTGCCTTATGTCTGGGATTTACCGGATGTTACCACGATTTCAAAGGTGGAAGTGAAGCCTAGGTGGAAGTGACGTCCGGGGTTTGTCCTGGATCTTTGGCAAGTAAACTGAGAAATCACATTTTTTGGCGTTTCCGTAAAATACAGCTCAATAACTTTGAGATTTGTCTAAACCCCCCCCCCCCCAATTTTGGGCATGTCTGGATTTTTACTTCTTGAAATATGACAACTCTATATTGGAATCCAAGAACATCTGAAGGGCTGCAGGTTCCTCATCTCTGCATGATGAAATATGAGAGGTGCCTTGAGTCAAAACACTTCTTATCTGAAATCCAGTATGCATGCAAAAATCATCATCATCATCATCATCATCATCTTCTTCTTATTTACAATTTTCATCTAACCATAGCTCATGGAAATGATTGTCTGGGAACATCCTGGCTGCATCTACTTAAGAAAGAGTCCTAGTAGGCATAATGAGAAAACACAATTCAGAATGCAGTCTGGTATCTATTAACCTACATGTGATACAAGCAACATATAAACAACCAAATGGAATTCAGTGGGACTTACATGCTGAGTCGACATATATAGGATTGTCCTGCAAGTTCTGGGTCCCCATTACTAATCTTGGCATAATACTCTGTGTACAGCAAGGCAATCTAGTTAGTGTCTTCCATAAAATGGGGGTGCAAAAACTGATACACTTTATTTATTGTCCGTTGTATGGAAGAATCAGTAACATAACATAAAATGCTGCAAAAGAAATGATGGCTAAGCCTTGTATTTTTTTTATTTGATGTTTTTATTAAAAGATTTTCATAGTTAGCAAGGGTACATAGAACATTTGTTTTCAATTAATGGAGTGCTTTCTACAGGTCAGTTACATTTGGTGTGAGACACTGCTGTCATAGGCACTGTGAGGTTGGGTGGGGGGAGAGAAGAATCAGGAAGAGGGGGGGAAGAAGGGGGTGGTGATCTTTCATTCTTTTGTTTGAAGTATGTGCAGAGTTTTTGTGTCAGTGTTGTGAGGATAAGGTCTTTGGTATAGTTTGTTTTTGCATTTGACTTATGTGTTTGTTCACTGTTAGCCAAAATAGAATGGCCAAGCATTGACTGGAGCAGAGGATTACCAGAACGTGTATGCTTTAAAGGGCTGTGAGGTCCTTTGTTCAAGCTGTTCCAAAATGGCACTGACTGCATGATTAGAGTAACAGGGAAATTTCCCTGGAGCAGTTCAGGGTACTTTAGTTTGTATGAGCAGCACTTAGTGATTTGCTGCCTGCATCAATAAAAGAGGGGAGACAAAGCAATAGAGCTTAACAAGTAATTGAGTGATTAAGTTTTCTTCCCTCCCAAAATGTGTTTTGAGCACAGTAAGGGACTGTAGCCTTGTCAGCTAAACACTTCGCCACCCAAAAGCAGCCTGCCAGAGCCTGACATCAGAATTATTCAGAAAGAGGTTGATTTTTTTTTTTGGTTTTAAGAAGCCTTTTTTTCTGACTTACACATGCATAGATACATCTCCAAGCTTTGCTTTCTGCATTGTTTGGTTTTATAAGATTTTGTTGAATGGATTTATGCTTTTATATTCTTGATAGGTAAATCAAAGAATATAAAAAAGCAGGCCGTAACTTTTGTTATGACCAAGTACAGAATGTCAGAGCTGAAGTAACCTTGTAATTTTATCCAACCTCTTCATATGTTCCTGTTGGATGCCTTCGGTCTGCCATGAGGCCTTCCTTGGAAAACAATTGCCACCCATTTCCTTTGAAGTCAGCTTTTAAGCTGCCACAGAGTTTCATTGCCTTTTTTATTATTATAGAACACAGATGCAATAGATAGAAAATGAGACATACTTAGGCTCCAGGGAAACTGGTGGAGTGTATGTGCCTCTTTCCCTCCAGTTTCAATGGGAGCAAACAGCTTCTACAATTGTGCCCTAACATCAGTTCCACTGTGGGATTGACGCTTCTGTCACTTATAGTTGATTTATTGGAATATAAGAGGGCATTTCCTCTTTAGACTGCAGCCACCAGAGGGTGACATAATTGCAAAAAATTGAACTTCTGTCACTTGATCTGTCCAGGGATGACAGAAGCTATTGTCATGCTCATTATGGTGTGTAAGATAAGGTGAAGTGGGGAGACACACACCAACATGGCCCTGAAGCAACAGGAAGCTAGATAAGGCCTCCAGCGCCTTTGCTGTGAGCTGAGTGAATTAAGCCTCCTCAGATGCATTTTGCTTTTCTTTTATTAATCAGCCTTTCCTTATTTGTTTAACTAATAGATTCCAGCAGCTCGCCCTCTCTCTTACACACAGCCACATCTGCTGTGTAAATACCTGTGTGACCCTTTCCTTCCGGTGTCAGCAAATGGTACCTGGAGAGAAAGTGTCTCCTTTTGATGACATGGAAGTCCCAACTTCCTGGCATGGGAAGAGCGAACTCCCTGTAAAGCTTCTCCCCCCTTTCTAACTAGTATGTTGATTTGGAATGGGAGCAGGTTCTTGGCAAAAGAAAAAAAATACTGAAAAGCTCTCTCCAAATGGGTTTGTGGCAATATCCATGAGGTAAGTTTACATCTGGCAATTCCCAACGTGTCTCATGATAGCATTGCTAAGGGAAAGGCTCCATTCCTAAACTGCACAGTTGTGTTTTTCAAATTCACATTGTCAGGAGTGGCTGGTACAGCAGCTCCCCACCCGTGTTGTCAGCTCAGTGGTCAGACCCATGGAAGTGAGGGAAACAGAACGGAAGAGGCTGGGCAAGGCAGGCCCATCAGAGGAGCGATGCACAACTAGCCAGAGGAGAAAGGCACGTTGGGTGGCACATTTAGAGGGGGAGGGAGCAGGGAAGGAGTAAAAAAAGAAAAAGGAGAAGGAGGAGCAGAGAAATAGGAGAATAAAACGATAGGCGATGAGTAAGCTATGAAGGAACACTGTGTTTTATGAATGGACTCTGTATTTTTGGAATTACCTAAGAGCCACCAATAGGCAGCTCTAGAATCTGATAGCTAACTAACTGGGTACTACCAAACAGCTATCCCTATTGCTGAAAGCAGGTAACCAGCAGGAAATGCTTCAGCTCAGCCTTTGCACTGTTGACTGAACACCCCCTGCTGTGCAGATAATGGTGAAAGCTCTCTATTGGAGTCTCCAGGTCCAATATAAAGACTATAAGAAGTGAGAGCAGGCACCTTGAAGTTCCCAACAGCTGTTAATCAAGCAAGCAAGTAAGCACACAGGTCACCTTTGTCAGAGGATGCCTATAATCCTGGCCAGGCGTGCACCCAATCTTGTTTTTGTACAATCTTGTTTGTTCTCAGTAACCAAAATTATATTATCAACATATACAAGCAGAAAGGTTGTTTTCCTTCATTTGCAAGGAATTGTACAAAACAAAGTGGCACTAATAAAGAAAAGTTCCAGGGTGGCAACAGAAAGCAAACTAAAAATGCTTTTGCAGTTCACCAGAACTTTCCAGCAATATCAAGTTATAGGAAAACTGGTGCTATTAACAGTAACCCTTCTAGTTTGGTTATTGATTTGGCAACTTCTATGCACATGACGTCTGATGCTCACCCCCCCGAAGAGTTAAATGATAACTCATCAGAAGCAGCTACAGTTGGAAATGGAAACAAAATATTTGTGAAAGGAAGAGGAGCAGGTTTGCTCAAGTGTGTTGCAGGTAGAAATACTGTTTGTAATGAAGTGAATTGAATTGCTTGAATTAACAAATAAGAAAGTTTTGAGAATTTACATGCTAGATTAAAACTGATTAATTCATTGAGAAGGGGATTGTAAGAAAAACACTGGGGCCTAATTTGAATAATAGAGTGCCTGGTATCTGGTGGGCAATCTCCTCCTTTATTTCCACACTGTGGCTGCGGACCAAATCACCTGTCAGGAGAGCTATGAGATTCATGTGAGGGTCATAGGGCTGTCAATCCCAGCAGGTATATAACAGGAAGACTGGCCTGCCCAGGCCAATTACAACTTCATTTTCCTAAGAAAAATGGTGGATGGGGGGGGCCCTCACAAGTAGAGTAGCTTAGGGTCTCTCTTCATCTAAATCCGGTCCTGCCCAGCTGGCATGGCTAATGGTCAGGTATTGTGGGAGTTTTGGTTCAGCAATGTCTAGGAAGCCAAAGGTTCCCTACCAATCATTTACAAATTAGGACAAGCTAAACGAAGATTTTAGTGGAACCAGAATGACTGACCCTGAAACCTGAGTCAAAATTATTGTCATGTTACTGTATTCTTATCCGTCTTTGGCTGATTGGGTAGCATGATGTGCTTTCATAAACAAATGTACATGAGGCCTGTTATCTCAGTTTCATCACTGTGTTTTTTGCAAGGCAAATCTACACTGGGTCTTGAAAAGAAGTCAAAATAATGGAATACTTGTACCATTGTTCGAATACTGGTTCTCCTTTTTCCTTGGCAGTAAGCTCCTCCAAAAGCGATAGCGTCAATATAATATTGTTTCATGTGTGCACAATTGATGGGTAGTTCTGGTTGTACTACCACAACCCTACAGTCATAGGATGCGCATGGAGGTTGCCTGAGGACACCCAGACAGATCTAGAAACCCCATCTCTTTCTAAAGATATACATACATATACATATACATATACATATACATATACATATACATATACGTATACATATACGTATATATATACGTGTGTGTGTGTGTGTGTGTGTGTGTGTGTGTGTAGTACAGGGACTGCATGGAAGGTTTACCAGCTTTTAAAATGAGCAATGTATGTCATTGATAGCTGACAGCTGCATAACAGGCAAAAACAGGCAGATTCATGGAGATGCAATGATAGGCAAAGTGTCATCAGTTGATTTCTGACAGTTACGCAGCTGTGAAAGTCATGAGGCATCTAATCAATTCACCAAAGTGTTAGTGGCAAAGCTAACAAAGGGGTGAATAAGACCGAAGATGAGAGAAGAGGAAAGTGCTCATTTTACAGCCACATTTTGTACCAAGGACAGCTCAAAAGAGTTGATATGGGAGGCAGAAACTACTAGTTGCTAATTAGAAGTGCAGTATAGCCAACTGGAGCAGCATTACATGAAAGTAAGTAACCTAAAAAAAATGGGCTTATTTTCAAGTACCAAATCAAGTATTGTCCTTGTGTGAATTGCAAAGCCCTTAGCGTTAATTCAACCACATTTAGTGCACCCTTCAGTTGGACATAACCAATAAACTGTGAAAGCAAACATTTTCCTACTTTCTTTTTCTTTTAGGTTGAAGACTGACTTGGAATTAGCTATGGTAGCAATCAATACATCCTTAATCCACTGCTGCCTGAATTTATTTATCCTTGTGCCTACAAGGATAAATAATACATGCAGGGCAAATAATTCTCTCTTCAGTAAGTGGCTATTCAGTGGTCTTAAAGAATGGCACACAGCTAGGCTAAATGTTTTTTTGAAGCGCATAGGTATGAATGGGGGAGAGGAATTTGCTTTGGTTTAATGTGAGCTACCTAACTGGTACTTCCTTTTTATATATATATAAGATATTTATTAGGTTTTTTGAAATATTACAGTAAAAATGAAAAAGAAAAGAGAAAAATACAAAATAAAAACAATTAAAAACACACATATTTCCAGTTACTTATTTTCCTTTAGCTTGTTTCCCGGACCTCCTTGTACCTCCCTTTTTTGTATCCCACTTCAATTTATTGGTTCAGCAAATCCTTACCATTAGATTTTAACCCATTTATAACCCTTTTTTTCATATTCTCTTAAAGCATTACAGCTAGAAACCACTTAGTTACTATCCAACATCATTCTATCATTCATTAATTTTACAATATTTCTGTAAGTAGTCTTTAAATTTCTTCCAATCTTCTTCCACCGACTCTTCTCCCTGGTCTCAGATTCTGCCAGTCATTTCTGCCAATTCCATATAGTCCATCACCTTCATCTGCCATTCTTCCAAAGTGGGTAGATCTTGTGTCTTCCAATACTTTGCAATGAGTATTCTTGCTGCTGTTGTAGCATACATAAAGAAAGTTCTGTCCTTCTTTGGCACCAATTGGCCGACAATGCCCAGAAGAAAGGCCTCTGGTTTCTTCAAGAAGGTATATTTAAATACCTTTTTCAGTTCATTATATATCATTTCCCAGAAAGCCTTAATCCTTGGGCTCGTCCACCAAAGGTGAAAGAATGTACCTTCAGTTTCTTTACATTTCCAGCTTTTATTATCAGGCAAATGATAGATTTTTGCAAGCTTGACTGGGGTCATGTACCACCTGTATATCATTTTCATAATATTCTCTCTTAAGGCATTACATGCCGTAAACTTCATACCTGTGGTCCATAACTGTTCCCAGTCAGCAAACATAATATTATGTCCAACATCTTGTGCCCATTTAATCATCGCAGATTTCACCGTTTCATCCTGAGTATTCCATTTCAACAGCAAGTTATACATTCTTGACAAATTTTTAGTTTTGGGTTCTAACAGTTCTGTTTCTAATTTTGATTTTTCCACCTGGAAGCCAATTTTCTTATCCAGATTATATGCCTCCATTATCTGGTAATAATGAAGCCAATCTCTCACTTTATTTTTAGTTTCTCGAAACTCTGCAATTTCAATTTGTCTCCTTCTTGTTCCAAAATTTCCCAATATTTCGGCCATTTGGCCTCCATATTGAGCCTTTTCAGAGCTTTCGCTTCCATCGGTGACAACCACCTTGGGGTTTTATTTTCCAATAAATCCTTGTATCTTATCCAAACATTAACTAACTGGTACTTCATTAAACAATATGCAAACTGAAACTCCATAATCTTTGGAAATTCAAACATCTCTGAATTTTGCTATCTCGCTTCAACCAAAAAATCTGTCTAAATGTTTTTGCGTAAATTGCAAATGTTAATGAAACAAATACATCATATTAGGGAGATACAGTTTTTTTTCTTTAAAGAAATGTGTATATTAGGCAAAACTGTGTACAATATTGCTTTGAGAAAGGACAAGTTTGCAGGACAACAAAATTACATTTCCCTTAAAGAGAGGAGGGGAAACCTCAGAATAGCCCAAAGGGGACCAAGTATGCGAAAATGCAAAATGGTGGAGAGGTGGGAGGGAGATGAAATGGAGAGGCTGGAAATACTCCAAATGGTAGAGTTCACCAACTTCAACCCATCTTTTCTAGCCCCATTAACCTTCTTCTGTCCAAATTCCCGAACTTACATTTTCTCCTTCATGCTCCTTAAAGAAACTTTCGGAGGGCCAGCCTATATTCTGTATCATGTTTAGTCCTGAAGAGAATTCCGATGGGGAGACGTTAGTTCTGTCAGCCACCCTGGAAATATATATGTTGAAAAGTGGATGTAACTGTGTTAAACTGTGTGTAACTCCCCAAAATTCCACACAAAATTAACAGTTGATTTCCTTTCCGGTTATGAACTGTACAAAAACCCTGTATATTTCAACAGCACTGAAAAAGATTTTGGTGAAATGAGGCATAGTTAGGCCTGCTAGTCAACCAAGGAAAGATGAGCAAAGGAACATGTGGGCCATCGTGTAAAGGTTTAACCTCCATCATACTGCATTAATGCATATCAATGACTTTGGCTTTCCATGGCTGTATCAAGCAATACTACTGCATGTGTAGATAAGGACATAACGAGAGCCCTGCAGAATCAGGCCAAAGACCCATCTCTAGTCTCACAGTGACCTCTCAAACGCCCCTAGGAAGCCCCTAAGCAGAACCCGAGTGCAACAAAATTGTGTTATGTATTGTGGGTTGCAGCCAATGTTAGAGTAGACCCATTGAAACAGGTGCATATAACTAACTTAAGTCCATTAATTAGAATGGGTCTACTTGGAGTAGGACTTAGTTGGTACCACCTTGTGCATGTTGTTAAATCCAGTCACAGGAAATATTTGATTGAATTATACAAATTAGACATACCCCCCCCGGTGCATTTTGAAATCATAAATACTGCAGCTGTTTGCAGATTTAAGCAGATAATGTTAATTTTTGGTGATCCTCATTTGTTCTGCTGTAGATAGGTAATACCCATCTTTAGTATCACTATTGAACTTAATAAATTTTGGAGTCATAAAATCAAGGAATTGTAGAGTTGGAAGGGACCCACACTTGGGGCTGAGTACATACTATCCCACAAGTAATGAACGGAAATTACCTGGCAGACAGCTACAAAGCAGACCGAGAGCCGCAGATGATGAAAGTCAATGAAAAGCAGAAGCTGTTCTGAATAGCAATATTACTTTCCTTTGTGCTACCTAGCAGGTTCCTGTCATTTGAGTTTCCCAGAATCCAGAAGGTAGCTTTGTGGATTTAAATGCCTGGATAATAACGTCTGCACGTTTTCAAATAACCAAGTGACTTTTCTTTCCGATACAGGAAGAGTAAGAGGCCCGGGTAGCACCCTTTGTTCTGTTCCAATCAGGGCTATTTTCTTGTCTTTTTCTTTTGAAAATTTCCAGATACTATAGTCATAGCATCTCCTCCGACTGCCCTGTCCTGCCTGCATAATTGCACACAACTTGATATGAGAACCAGAAAGAAGCGGAACTCATGGCAAATGTGAGTCAAGGCCATTGGACAGAGGGAACAAATTGTTTAGCCTCTTGCTGGCTTTCGGTATCCACAGAACTGAGCAGGAAATGATTTTGACAGGAAAGCATGTTCTTCTCCAGCCACCTGCAGCCCATTGATTTCCTGAAGTTCAAAGTTTAGAGAAGAAAAGAAAGCAAACAGCCACCTCTCCCCACCCCGCCTGCCCGCTGTCCCAGGACTGGCTCAGCATTTTTAGCTAGCACTAGCCCACTGCTGAACTTATCTCTTAATGTTACGCTAGAACCCAACACACTATGTAAGGCAGACAATCTTTGCTGGATGATTGTAGCACAGGAATGAGAGCAATTTGTACATAAGAACCTAGGAAGCTGCTTTATACTGAGCCAGACCCATTGCTCCATTGAGCTCAGCATTGCCTGCACTGATGGGCAACAGCTGTCTGGGATGTCAGACAGGGGACATTTTCTATAAAATGAGCCCTAATTTACCGAGTTCAGCCCTCTATTTCAGTGGTTCCCAATCATTTTGCTATGTTAACCAACAAGTCCAAATGTCCTTGGTATGGACCCATCTTATTATCACACGAATTTTCAACTTTAGGTGCTTGTCAGCAAGTGGTTTCATGTATTTTAATGCAAGTTTGCCTCTTTTATAACCATTACTTGAGGCATCCAAGCAAAAATTTACTTAACCTGCCTATTAATGTGGCATTTGTTAAAATATTTATAGTGCTTAGAAAGTTATTCAGTTTTGTTTATGGGAACGGAAGATCACCAGCCATGTGATTGCAGGATATTGCCTCGTAAGCTATAAAAAGTTATTCTACAAACATGTGGTTACACAAAGCAGCGTTAGATGTCAGAAACTATGAATATTTTAAATAAGTTAGCCACTTTGGCAAGTACCAGTGGGATGGCTGAGCTTGCATTTTGCCAATGAGAAGGCCAATGAGGAATTTGATAGTCATCAGACATGGTCTCAGATCAGATCGTTTTTAAGGCAAAGATAATATTTATTATTTCAACTCAGTAGACTTCAGATCACCCTTGGTTTAACTATTAACTAATCGTGGAGAGGGGTCCAGTGGAGGTTCGCCACAAGGCACCCATACAGGGAGTTGTTTCGAGTGCCTATTACA